AAAAGTTTTATTTTTATTAATTAAATAATATAAATAAAATAATAAAATAATAAAATACAGTTTTTAGCAATAATTTTATGAGGAAATATTCTTCATTACAAATATAAAATATAAAGTTGACTTTGTAACGAAAAATAGATATCGGATATCTTTTAACTTATTAACCTATAAAATTTCACCCCAAATATGATTAGCTAATTTCACTGATCTGCACATGGATCACGAATTAATAAACTTATCAGGGACATAAAAATTTTTTAAAAAAAATTAAAAAATATATCGGATATCCAATTTTTATCAAGTGACTGATAGATCCCTGACATATTTATATTACACCTATCAGATATATATCGGAAGCCTATCAGTTACCCCAATAGTTATCTAATTGGTCCTTGATATATATCTGAAATATAGATTTTGACCTGTGTTAATGAAGACTTTCAAAGAATAACATATCGAAAAATAGCAAAATACTTATGTTAATGTTAACTTTTAAAGGTTTTCACTAAAAAAAATTTCCTGATGAAATAGTGAAATTTAGAAAATAATTCTAACTGTAATTAATTCTATAATTGAATTAATATTTTTATAATCCTAAAGTAACTGGATTATTGATTTTCTTCATAATAAACTTATATTCTTTATATTAAAACTCTGTTACTTTTTTATTAATTTATATTCTTTGAATATAAATTCTGGTCCATAAATTTCTGTTACTTTCTTATAAACCATTGATAAACATATTTAATTCTTTGTTTAATTTCTTAAATCGACCTTTAAAATTTAACCATTAATCAATAATTTAAATTCCATGATCATAAATTCTTAAGTCCTTTGATTAGTTTTTAGTATTTAACTTAACATATTTCTTTTATTCTTCTTCTATTATCTTCTTCAATTCGTAAATTAAAATAACTGTTTATGAGTTGCTAGTTGTAAATTGCCTTTTGGAAAATAAAATTAGTCCAAAAGGTCAACTAGTAACAATGTTCACTGTTGGAACAGTAGCCATGATATGCTTTCAATTTTGCAGAATCCAATGTGGCAGCATAACTTCAGATACACAATAACTCAACAAATAACTTAATGAGAAACACTCACCCTGTATGCTTGCATATTATACTGGAATTCCTTAAAGTGTGATAACTTCAATTTCATATTCTCATCAGGAGAAGTCATTTAATATATTACATTTTATTAAAAAAAAACTCAAATCTTTACACATCTCAATGTTACTTTATTATTTTGATTGCATTATTAAAAAAAAAGTGTTAAACCTCTTATTAAAATAATGGGAGCAGTCATTTATTTATTAATTTTGATTGCATTATTAAAGTGTTAAAGAACGTGTTGAAAAACCAATTTAAATCTCATTGTTATTGGGGGAACGCATCGTAAAAAAAGAACGAGTTGAAAAACCAATTTAAATCTTATTGTTATTGGGGGAACGCATCGTAACGTGTTTGATTGATTATCCGTAGCACTTATCACGTTGACAGACATTATCACTTGATTCTGTACGAACGTGACAATATTTTGAGTTAATTTTAAGTACTACTTCACTCAGAGATAACAAAAAAAAATGGAAGTCACTGAAGAAGAATGGACTGTACACGATATTATCCTAGGACATGGATCAGTAAGAAATTCCTTTCACGTATTTAATACCTTGAAGTATATAATTCTTTCCTAGCAACTGTCCTAATATGTTTAAATATAGGGATTCATAGATGAATTAAAGATCCATGAATTAGTAGAAGAGGTTATAGTAGATATCACATGGACTCAGTTACAAGAGATATTATCTAGTTTACATTCTTTTGTGGGTATTCAAAAGATGATTTATTATTATTCATTTTAGTATTATTCTAAATTCATATTTTTTGATTATTAAGTTTTGTGTCTATTCAAGGGATTAGTAAGAAAACGGCAAACGCATGATGAAAGATTTTTATATCAAGCTCGCACAAAAGAAATAGCAAATAAGTAAGCGTGTTTATAATTTTTTAATATGTAATTATCATTAATTCATTAATTCAATTTTCTTTTTAGATTACAATATCTTGATAATCAAGAATATGAAATATATGAACTTATTGAAAATTCAGAGCGTAAAGGTATAAATAAATTACTTTCATCATTTTTATTTTTAGAAATTAAGTCAATTGATTAATTTAATTTAATTTAATTTAAACATGAAATTGTAGGTATAGCGAAATCGGATATTCAGAAACAAACCAAAATTGTTCAATCAGTAGTTGAAAATTGCTTAAAGACAATGCAAGAACAAAAGTTGGTTAAAGAGGTTAAACCAAAAGTAAATTCGCGTTTTATCAAAGTTTTTTATTTTTTATTTTTTTATTTTTTATTTTTTTATTTTTTATTTTTTTATTTTTTATTTTTTTATTTTTTATTTTTTTATTTTTTCTTTCTATTAAAAAAAGATATATTTAATCATCTAATTCAAAAAAAATGTGTTCTTTTTATTTTAGAGTAAAAAATTATATATGTTGTTTGACATTAAACCAGCTGATGAGTCACTTAGTAGATTATTGTACACTAATGGAGAACCCGATACAGTAGTTGTGGAAGCTTTAAAATCTTTATGTTATAATTTTATATATCATCGAGTATGTGTAAAGTAGAATTGTTAAATTTTGATTCTTTAAATTAATTTGTGAGAAAGAATTTAAATATTAATATTTTATATTAAATTTTATATTATATTTTGCATTTTATTTTCTTTAAGAGTTTCCCCAAAGATATGGATGAAGACGCTATATTTTATCCCGGATATACTGGATATCCAACTTTAACGAAAGTTGTTCAATGTGTACAAGAAACTAAAATAACTGAAATGGAAATTGAGGAAACAGATATACGTCAAATTCTAGAAGTACTTATTTATGAAGGAAAAATATTAAAACGATTTACTGGTAGATTAATAGATCAAAATACGAATGGACGTAATGAATCTTTAATAGTTTATATGGCTAAAAAACCGAAATCAATGACTAATGCTTGGACTCCAATACCTTGTGGAAGGTGTCCAGTATGTATTCAAAATTTATTATTATTATTATTATTATTATTATTATTATTATTATTATTATTATTATTATTATCAATTATTATCATTTTAGAAAATTTATTATTATTTATCATTAAAAATTTATTATCATTAAAAAATTATTTTAATTATCAAATTTTACATATTTCCTAATTTTATTGATTTTATTGATTTTATTAAAAAAAGTACTTTAAAGATGAATGTTCGGAAGACGGAGAAATTTCTCCAACAACTTGTATATTCTTTCCTCAATGGTTCAATAGAGGAATTAATTTATACAATGATCAAAGTAAAACAAAAGAGAAAAACGCAATAGAATTAGACTGGTAAAAAGAAAAAAAAAAGAAAAAAAGAACAGAATTAGGTTATGAAAAGAAATGAAAGAAATGAAAGAAATTATTTGTTTTTTTTTCCTCTCCGAGCATATGTATATAAAATTTTTATTTCATTTAAATAAACGTAACCACACATCACATGACTAATTTTTTATTACGTCATATAAATACTGAAAAAAAAATTTATCAAAATTTTAAAAATGTCATCCTCTTTTGTCAAAGGTGTTACACCCTCAACAGAAAATATTGATGGTTCATTGTTACGAATTGCGATAATACACACTCGTTGGAATTATGAAATTGTCGAAAGCTTGGTCCGTGGTGCAAAAGAAACCATGATTTCTCATTATAATGTTAAACCAGAAAATATTATCGTTCAATCAGTTTCTGGTTCATTTGAACTTCCATTTGCTGCCAAATCGGTCATTCAATCTTCAACACTTTTTCATGCAGTAATTTGTATTGGAGTATTGATTAAAGGCTCAACAATGCATTTTGAATATATATCAGAAGCTGTAAGCCAAGGAATAATGAGAGTTGGTTTGGATACTAATGTACCAGTAATTTTTGGAGTTTTAACATGTTTAAATGATGATCAAGCTTTAGAAAGAGCTGGTTTAGGAAATACACAAGAAAAACATAATCATGGAATTGATTGGGGTCATTGTGCAGTTGAGATGGCACATAAAAATATTAATTGGAGGAACAATATTTTTAAATAATAAATATTTATTATTTAAATAATTTATCACTCTTTTTCTGGAATATAATTTTTTATAATAATTTTATAATAATTTTATAATAATTTTTATATAACATCTTTAGTATGAATTTCAAAATGTTTTATGCCTGAACTTTATTAAATAAATACATTAAAAGTGTTCATACAATTCATACAATTCATACAATTCATACAATATTCATATATGCACGAGATATAAGATATAGTCGAGACGATGATTATCTATATTTCGGACTAAGATCACATACCAAGAAAGAAGACTACTAAATTAAATTTCATTTATGATATGAAATATTTACTTTGGGTTCTCTTTTAAATCTATTTTTTTTTGTAAAAACTAAACACGTGTGAAATAAATTAAAAAATTACTGATTTGGAAAAAATTTTCCAGATCATCATCTAAGATTAGATATACAAAGTTTATTGTTAAAGTAACTCTTCTTTCTCGAGTGATTTTTTTTTTTTTTTTTCAAAATCTCGATTCAGCAGTTATGCTTCAAACACAAAAAAACAGTAATTCCCTTTTAAGAAGATCTTCCACTTCCTCTTTTACAAATTTTCACGCGAAACAGCTTAAACCCTTTAATTCTGGAGATATAAAAATATTGCTGTTGGAAAATGTGAGCCAGTCTGCCGTTGAAATTCTGGTCAAAGAAGGGTACCAAGTACGAATTCCTTTTTATAATATATAAAATTTTCTTTTTACGTATTTACAAATTATTCTAGTTGAGTTAAATGAGGGAAAGAGTCAGTATTGAATTCAATCCCTTTCAAGTTTTTTGACTAACCCAACTTTTTTAATTTGTGAATACGGGTAGCAACTTATTCTTTTGCGTGTTTATTTATGATACAATAATTGACTCATTTTTTGTAACCTAAAAAAAAAAAAAGGTAGAAACGCATCCCAAAGCTCTTCCTGAAGATGTCCTCATTGAAAAAATTCGCGATGTGCATTGTATTGGAATTCGGTCTAAAACAAAACTTACTCAAAAAGTCCTCCAAGAAGCGAAAAAACTCATGGTGATTGGTTGTTTCTGTATCGGTACGAATCAAGTCAATTTGGAATTCGCCGCGAAGCAAGCTATTGCCGTATTTAATTCTCCCTTCAGTAATAGTCGAAGTGTAGCAGAATTGGTGATTTCTGAAATTATCGCGTTATCAAGGCAATTAGGTGATCGTAATACAGAATTACATTCAGGAATATGGCATAAAGTATCAGCAAATTGCTATGAGATACGTGGGAAAAGCCTTGGTTGGTATTATTTCTTGTTTTTTTTTTTTTTTTTTTTTATTGAATTATTATATTGCTAACATAATTTTCTTTTCTAACATTATTTTTGTTTTCTAGGAATAATTGGTTATGGTCATATTGGATCACAATTATCAGTTCTCGCAGAAGCCATGGGAATGACGGTATATTTTCATGATATACTTCAACTTATGCCTTTAGGTTCTGCTAAGCAAGTTAGTTCTCTTGAAGAACTTTTAGAGTTATCTGATTTTGTTACCATACACGTTCCTGAAACTGAGGAAACAAAAAATATGATTGGTGAAAAAGAAATTAATCAAATGAAAAAAGCAAGTTATTTAATAAATGCATCACGCGGTACTGTAGTTCAAATTCCAGCTTTAGTTAAGAACTTGAAGAGTGGACATTTGGCAGGTTTGTCATATATTTCATATATTTATATATTTATTAATAATTATATGTATAATTGGTAATAATTAATATTATTATAATTATAATAGGTGCAGCATTAGACGTATATCCACGTGAACCTGGCTCAAATGGACCTCATTTTGATGATCAATTAAATACATGGGCATCAGAACTCTTGAAATGCAAGAATGTAATATTGACACCACATATTGGTAAGTGTATTTTTTTATTATATTTTTTAATGTAAATTTTAAAATTTTAAAATTTTAAAATTATTGATTTTCATTCATTTTTTTTCCATAGGTGGATCTACTGAAGAGGCTCAGAAAAGTATCGGCATCGAAGTTTCTACGGCGCTTTATAAATACATTAATTATGGAACGTCAATTGGAGCAGTTAATTTCCCTGAAATTGATCTTCGAGCCATTCAAATTACGGAGGAAAAGAAAATTCGTATTCTTTTTGCTCATCATAATGTTCCCGGTGTTCTTAAGGTATATTATTATTATCATCATCATCACATCAAAATTAAAGTTATATATATTAAAATTATATTAAAAAAAAATAGGAAATCAATGAAATTCTTTCCGATCATAATGTCGAAAAGCAATATTCTGATTCAAGAGGTGAAATTGCATATATGATGGCCGATGTTTCTGATGTTGACGAGAACGATATTAGTAAAATTTATACATCTATTAGTTCTACTAAATCAAATATATTGACTAGAATTGTATATTAATATCATAAGATTTATTAAAATTATCATACATCATCAGTATTGAAACATAATTGATAAATTATCGTTTGTATTATTTGTGTTACTTTATTATTATTGTATATTACCGTTTTTCTTTCGATTACATAATAATAAAATAATTTCAAACGTTTTGGATTTTCGATCGAAAATGGAATGAAAGATAAAAGAAGTTAGTACATGAAAAATTAAATTATTGCAAGAAGAATATTTACCTTAATTCTATTGACAATATCTGTAAGAACTACCATGGGTCCAATTTTAAACCCACAATCTCTAAATTTTGATTCGTCCATCAAGAGAAAGGCAAAACCAGTAATCTCTTCTTCACGGAGGACTTTGAAATGATGTTCCTCAAATATTAACTTTGTTTACGTAAAAAAACAATAAGCTCATTCGTATTCCATCCCTTTACTACTTTAATCGCAGGAAGTCTTTCCACCAGTTCCGATCCTTCCATTACATTCGCAGAAAATTTTTCCTCCATTACATATTAAATAATAGGACCATAGTACTGTCGCGGTCTGCGCAGAACAATGTGGAAAGTTACGCAAATCAGTCTCAATAAGTTTAGGATAATCACACGATAATTCAATGTATCACTAA